GTGTATTTATGCATGCATACATGCATGCATGTATGTATGTATGTATGTATGTATGTATGTATGTATGTATGCAGATATGGACGCAGATATAGATGCAGATATGTCCAGATTTGTACATACACACACTTTGACGAATGGACCAGCAGATAGCGGACAAATGGGTAATGTAGCCTGACGATCCCTGGCAACAGGGGGGATGGTTTTGAGCTTACAACGCCCGCCTGGCATTCCAGCTCAGCTTTCTCTCGCCGAACCTGAGACAGAGTCCAGGTTGCTCGAGGGCTAAAACTCTGATGGAAGTTCCGTTGCCTCTTGGGCACGAGTAAAGATCAAGAAGGCTGGTGACGGTCTTGAATGGAGAAGAGATCCTGCACATGCCTCTATGCTAACTTCTATGCGAGCTTGGACAGATCATCAGACACAGCTGCTGCTGGTCACAGCGCCAGCATCATCACTGTGCAGCGAAGGGCAGTGAAGCATGTCAGCATGTCATTGCGTTGCAAATTGGTATCTATTGCTTTGCATGCCGTGCACTCTGGCGATGCGAACCTTCTCGACTTCGCGAAGGCTTTCACTGCGGACCTGCCCAATCGAGCGAGCTACGTAAGTCCTAAGCCCTCATACCAACCTTCCGATGACCTTTGTTCAGCCATCCATACCAAGTGGCTGTACATAATGAACAACAACCAGAAAAATAGACAAAATAGCAACAGCAACAGCAGCAAGCAAAGACAAGTTGCAACAGTCATCACAGCAGTAGCAAGCACAGTAGCAAAAACAGCAGCTGCAAGTGCAAGTGCGATGAAAACAACGCTGACTGCAATAACCAGATGAAGACAGCAATACCAAATCCTATAGCAATTACATGGCACCTTGCAGACCGCAGCATGCTGACACTGCTTTCCACTACCACGAGCAAGATTACTCTGACTAGACTTTGACTATGACGGCGATGCCCGACTGCTACAGCTGCAACGACCACCACCACCACGAAAATTAATGCACTGCCGCCGCCTACTGCTGCTGCTGCTACCGCGACAGCGCCATCTCTTAGACTACAGCTCCGTTGGAGTCCTACTCCAAGCAGTCCGGCACTTCTGATGTCAGGGTCCCAAAAGTGACGGTAACTTTGCGAACCCCTGGTATTCGTCAGCCGTGGTTCTCCTGCCGCGCCCCGTAAGCCCTAGAGGCCCTAGAGTCCGGTCACGTTGAGTCGAAGAGCGAATGCAAAACCACTGTTTTCTCAGAAAGCCAATGGCAAGTCTGACGGTCCATGAACCAGCTGGGCAGTCCGAAAACGAGTCAGGCACGGGGCCCTTTGAAGTCGCGTCTCAACAGGAATCTCTTCCGGAAGGAATCCTGCTGCAGAAGCAGCGCTACTTCTCTGCGACTAAGCTGACTGATATTGCTGGGAACAGTGCCGGTCTCAGATGTCGGCGTCAGCTGGGGTGGACTGCTGCTCTTAGCAGGTGTGGTTGACATGGCAGCTTGCAGCGTGGCCTTCTGCTTCTCCAAGTCGCTCTGCATCTGCAGCTTCTGCTCGCCCTTCTTCGCAATCTCAGCCTCCAGCTCTTGGGCTCTCGTTTTGAGAGCCCCACAGGCCTGAGCCAGCCGTGTTGTCGGCGCGGCTGTGCCACCAGCAAGCTGGAGACCCGGAAAACCTTGCAGCTGGCTGCCGATGGTCTGCTGCAACACCACGTTCATGGTCTTGAGGCGCCGTATCTCTTTCTTCAGCTCCATATTTTCCGCCTGCATTTGGGTCATGAAGGCCTGTGCCTTTGGCAGGAGAGTGGCAGCATCGGCGGTCATGGCAGCTTGAACCATGCGCCTTGATTTGCCAACAGCACACGAGCGCAATGCTGGGCTGAAAACACCACGGCCAAAGTGCACGCTGGTCTGAAAGCATATAATATACCCTAGCTGCAGGCTTGTGTTTTCGAGATGCTCGGAGTCTACGCAACGACTTGGAACCGAAGCCGGCGACGCTGCATACCAAGAGACCCTGGACTATAACGGCTTTAGGGTTTAGGGCTTAGCATTAAACTGACATGGAAGCTTCATGGAACCCATAACACCCCCAAAGAAACCTTGCAAAACTACCGACTTCTGCTTCTCAAGGCTCCTAAACTAAACCCCGATGCTCACCGGTCACCCCTGCACGTAGTAAACCTGGCAGTGGACCCTAAACTGAAACAGCAACCGTAAACCCTCTAAATCACAAGCCATAAACCCTAAACCCTCAACCGTAAACTGCCCTAAGCGGAAAACCCTAAAACCCTGCACAAAACAGCCTCCCCCCCCCCCGAAATAATAAAAAACTAAACCCTAGCTCTCTCCCCCCCCCTCACACACACACACACAAAAAAAAAAAACAGCGCGGCCTCTGCCAACTGCCGACTCCACTCTGCCTTTCCCTCCGCGAAGTCGTTCGCCTGAAGAGGGCCGGGTGCAAATGACAACAGGAATTGGTTTTAGGGTTTGGGGGTTTAGGGTTTTAAGGTTTGGGGTTTGGGGTTTGGGGGTTTAGGGTTTTAGGTTTGGGGTTTGGGGGTTTAAGTTAAACACGTGGGACACCGACGTGTTCAATGATAACAAGCAAAAGAGACACAGCAACGCCCCTTTTACTTGAGCCAAATCAAGTTGTGCCGACGTCTCCACTGAGCTCTCCTAACAAACTGTATAGCAGCATCTCCTAGGCATGAACTGTACGGGTAATAATAACTCCCCCCTTTAGGAAGTTAAGTGAGACGTGGCTTCTGGGATAACTACTTGGAATGTCCATCGGATTACCCCTTTCAGAAGTTAAATCCGAGTGTGCGGAGCTGCAGTTGGTCTTCAACTGTCAACTTGCCTACGTTCCTAGGTGTGAAGGCAACGAGTACCGTCCTACGGCCCTTTGTACATGCTGTCGTTCCATGCAACTGCCTATGGTCAAACGTGGCAGGCCAGTTCAAGATGTCTCCGAGTTCACCTCTGCTTAGGTCAGGGCATGGCCACTTACCATTAGAGGATTGAACCCAAATATGACCGCCCTCAAAAACCTCAAGTGGTATCACAGCATTCCTGCTGCAAGGCTCATTGAAGCT